TGAAGTAATAAGACCTTGCTGAGAAAAAACATGTTGGTGTGACAAGTTTTTTTTTCATTGACCATGCTAAATAATTCCCTTCTCTCTAAAAATGTAATCAACATTTACATCTCTAAAAATCCGCATTGTGGGCCTTGTCAAATGTAATATTGAGTACCGGTATATGCTGAGTCAGCAACAAAATGGACGCAAATGGACTCGGGCTTTAATTTGGACACCCCTGCTTTACTATCGTGGAATGATATTCTGTGCTTCCTGGCAACCGAGTCTTACCTAGCATGCTCTCTCCGCTCCCAGGAGCTTCGTTCGCCAACCGGGAAGCAAAGCTATCGCCGACTTCATCCTCAGCATCGTCCAATCTCGGCCCCCCGTCGGTTGCGCAGCCAGCCCTGGACTTCAAAGTTATATTTCGTGACTGTCCACCCAAGAGAAATGAAGGCTTTTGCATCAAAATTAACCAAAGCGAAACAAAGTGCCATCGACAGATTCATGGCGAGTCCGTCGCTGAATTAACAGCAATCAAAATAATATGAAATTTGCTACTCAGTCAGGGTGAGACCCGTTGGGTACCTTCATCTCCCTGATTGACGCCTCCATCTCGATTCGGTCGTGTCATGTGACATGGCCACACCGTCATGCGACTTCTTTTTCTGTACCTTGACAACATCTCGGAGGCTGAGCACCTCAACTCTCAGCTGGTCGCGCTCGATTTGAATGACGTCAGAGATTTCCCTCTGACGCTCTAAAGCCTGGGGGGGGCGGGGAGGGGGGGGACCCAGGACGATGAGTTGGTGTAAAGGAGGAAAGTGGTAAGGTCGGGGAAAAGGAGAGAGAGCGGGTTAAGTGAGGTTAATGGATTAGCAGTAATATTAGTATGACATTTAGTGGAATTCCAATCTGCTTCCTGGTTGTTGTTTTTTTTTTTTTTTTTTTAACTTTTATCAATATTTGAGCGTTTGGACACTTCATCACGTCATACCGCAATCTTCATTTCCTTCCACTGCAGAGCCTCCTGCAAGTCAGACACCTCTCACAGTCTGAGTATAAATACTCACATTTAAGCACAGCTACTTGATTACGCCATTGCAGCTGGCAATTCATTTATTTTGATCACATGTTCTTCAAAACCATCAAATGCAAACTTTTTTTTCAACTCAAATTTAACACTCTTTAGAGTAACAACTTGTCACGACTGGCATTTTCTTCAAACATCCAGTTGCTTGTTTTCCTAACATTCCTGTCCCTGCTGCCAGTAATTTACTGTTACTTTACAGAGAAAATCTTGACAGTGTAACCTGTGAGAAAAGGTATTTCAGTTACTTCCGGTACGGAGGAGACAAAGAAATAAGAGACAAAGAAGAACCAACCAAAGCGAAACAAAGTTCCGTGGACAGATTCAGCGCGAGTCCGTTGCTGAATTAACAGCAATCGAAATAATATGAAATTTGCTACTCAGTCAGGGTGACACCCGGTGAGTACCTTCATCTCCCTGATTGACGCCTCCATCTCGACGGAGACTGACGTGTCACAGCTTCCTCTGCGGGATGACGCTCCACCCAAGGAAGATAGAGTGGCTGCAGAAAGGTTCAGCGCTGTTCTGGAGCCCTGACAAGAAGATGTGAATACAATTCGATGGTGGGAGCAGCGTAAAATAAACTTCCCGTGGCTAAGCAACGCCGTCAAGGAATACAGTCGGTCCCATGCTACAAGGGCCACTTCAGAAAGGGGTTTCGGTGTAGGGGTGACTTTGTAACGTGTAACAGGGCATGAATGAATTATTTTTCTTCACAAAAGTACCGTATGTATCAATTTTTTTTTCTCATCTTACTTTCATTGACAGTTTTGGTGGTACTAGAGATGCACCAATACCACTTTTTTTACAGTGTGTGATACTTTTTGACACCTCTAGATGGTGCTCATGAATCTTATAAAGATTAGTGCAATGGAAACGTATTAAAATTCCACTGAGCAATTACGGTATTTTAAGTTGATCACGTTCTTCAAAACCGTCAAATGCAAACATTTTTTTTCCAACCCAAATTTAACACTCTTTAGAGTAACAACTTGTCACGACTGGCATTTTCTTCAAACATCCAGTTGCTTGTTTTCCTAACATTCCTGTCCCTGCTGCCAGTAATTTACTGTTACTTTACAGAGAAAATCTTGACAGTGTAACCTGTGAGAAAAGGTATTTCAGTTACTTCCGGTACGGAGGAGACAAAGAAATAAGAGACAAAGAAGAACGCAGGGTCAAGTATGACTCAACGACATGTTACCTTGATGCGTTAACCTCAACTTTAATCAGGTGTCTTACATTCCGAGCACTTACATATTAATCCCAAAGCAAACCCAGCTCGACTTTCATCTGAGGCCAAATGAGCCAAACATCGAAACTTGACTTACTCTATCCAGGAAGTCTCTGTCCGGTCTCTCCTCCACCTAAGCACAAACACAGTCAGACCACGGAGATGTTATACTTCTTCACAAACAATTACATCCACTGCACCCTCAAATGAAGAAAACTGCATCGCTCACTCCCGGTCAGCTGCAACAACGTGAGGTTGAACGGACCCGGCGAAACTTACCACGGGGCTTGCGCGAGCCGAACTCGCTCTGGAGGACGCCCGGGAGCCAGAACCGAGAAATGAGCTGTAATCTGAAGGCTGGGAAGGGAGAAAGGAAGAACGGGTGCAGGGGTGGAAGGATGGATGCCGACGATCGGCGGGAGGACGCAAGGACGTATGCAAGGAGGGAGAAGTGAAAGGATGGATGCCGGATAGAAGGATTTTAGAATGAAACCAGAAGAAGAAACAGAAGGGATGTAAAATCCAAAGATTAATGATGGGAAAACGAAGCTTCATGAAGCACGTGTGATACTTTTTGACACCTCTAGATGATGCTCTTGAATCTTATATAGATTAGTGCAATGGAAACGTATTAAAATTCCACTGCCTCTTGAAACCAAGAGTGCCCTCTGGAGGAGTCAGAAACGTACACAAGTGCTTCACGAAGCTTCACTTGTCCACCACTACCAAAGATGGACGAGGGGAATTATGTCACCTTCAGACTGCCTCGACTCCCCACGGACATCCGCTCTTCATCATCTGACAGCTGTAAAGACAAACACCAACACACGTTGACTTCATAGTATGCCAACGATGATGCGGCTTCACATTGCCGGAGGTGACCGCATTTCTTTTCGTGAGCCAAAACTTCTCACAAAGCAAAGACAAGAGGAAAACAGCGAGACGATACAGACCGAAGCGAGTCTCCGCGCGTGGCGAGAATAGCGCTCGCCGTCCTCCTGAAAGGCCGCGAAGAAGGGACAGAGAGAGAGAGAAGAGACGGTTACGGGAAAAGCGATGAGGTACGTCTCTGCTTGCGCGGAAAAACGATCAGATGGGTACGCTCGATGCCATGCCTGACATGCAGACTCAAAATCAAACTTGAGAACACAAGCGTACGGCTGCCACGTCGCACAAGTCGAAATGAAAAACTAGAACGTGGCAGTAAGTGATGTCATTATCTCTGACAGCTTTGTGAACACAAGCACAGCAATAACAACAGGCTGACATGCAGCGTAGCCGACTCATAAAAACCTTCCAACTCCACCCAGGTGGTTTCATCTTTGCATCCACGACCACTTTGTTACTCTGGTGACTATGACTTGATTCTAAATACTCTGGCGTGACGTTACGGTCTCGGCCAGGTCAATACAACTGGTGCAGTGCTCTTATTTGTTTTTGAAGAGATTAGGTGGTACTGTAGGTTTTCATGGGCCAGCGGCAGATGCGGGGTCATACCATCCACTGCTCAATGTGACCCCATTTATAATCCAGACCATAATACTTCTGTAGAGGAAAAAGGGGCACAAATTAGAAACACTTTTGAACTCATTCACCGCACCGGCATTCCCCAATATGGTCAGCAGTGGACAGAGCTTTTCAAACCCACACAATATTTTGTGTTCTGTGACATTTTTTATGCATCAACCCTACAAAACAAATGATCAACACCACCACAACAACAACAAAAAAAAGTCTGCTCCTAGCTTTTAACGGTATTTAGTCATCAGCAGGACAAGATGGCTTGGGTTCATCAAAAACACAGGCTTCTGGCCAAATGAACAGAGAAAAAGAGATTTTGTGAATTCAAATGTCAAGTAGAGCGGTGACTTTGATACTTATTTCTGCCTCAAACTATATTTTTAAAAAAACTATTTAAAAAAACAACTGAAAAAGGCATTTGATGGAAAAATAAAAGTTTTGGGATCTGCAACTAAGAAATGCACTGTGAGGAGGGGCGGAGTCTCCAGCGCACACCTGCTTGTTATCACAATTAAGGAGAGGAGCTAGTCGCCAGAATATTGTTCATCTTTGTGAAGGTCGGCTGCTGTCCTCTTGCGCATTGTGTCGTAGTTAAGTTTTTTTTTATTTTTTTCCCTGGCGGCGAGTTCCTCTTTTGGTCAGCCCACTCGCCTTACTTATTCTTACCTGCATTCGGACGCAGGCACGGGGAGAACATGCAAACTCCACACAGGATGGCCGCGGCCTGGAATGGAAGCCTGCACCTCTGCGCTGTGAGGCGGACGCGCTAACTCGGTTTGGCCCTCGTTGTTATCACGCGCATCACACACTTTTTTCTACCGTACTTATCGCAACATATTACGGATACTCCGTTCGAGTGTGAGGTGCCTAAACTTGGTTTGGCCTTTCTCTCCATCAAATTAATTGACGCGACAAGCTGATCTTTATCTTCAACTGATGAACTGAATTTCACAGACCAGCAGAGCAAGACTCTGTAGAAAAAACACATTTGACACAATGGCAGGGAATGGCTGGATTCCAGTCGATGAATAAACATCCACGGCAGTGAATGAATCAAGTACAAGGCGGGTGGCTGCTTGTCAGCCTCACGATTGGCGCTGCAGGTTTTTTTAAAATTCCGTTGCTTGTTTGATGTCTCCATGCGGCGCGCACGCCCAAGTTGGAGCGCAAAAATAATTAGATGCTATTGTGAAAAAGGTTGATGGGGGGGGGCAGCAGACAAAGAATTAAGGAGAAGATGATCGACAGAGAAGTGACTCACCGCAGGATGAATGCCTCGAATGACTGAAGAACAGTAACACTGTCGCCTCTCCTACTGTCTGACCTCTGACCACAAAGGCGCGTCACATGTTTGCTTCGTGTCACTCAATGGAAATGAGTTGATTAGTGTTGATGAGCGGCAATCTTTTTGTTTTCTTTTTGGAGCGAAAACTTTCCAATCTATATCACAGTAAGATGACGGCGTGACCTCCACATTTTGCGTGCCAATAAATAAATAAATAAATAAATAAATAAATAAAATGTTGAGATTTTCTATTTAATTTGTACTTCCAAAGTACATCCACTCCTTGGTTGTGTTGAGTAAATGTAAAGATGCTAGCAATGCATCTCGGTCAAGCCGCCATGAAGCGCGCTTGATTCTGACGCGGGTGCCAAAAACACGTTTTGTGATATTGACCCGTTTCCGAAGAATGAATTCATTTACTATCAGTGTACAAACCTACAGACGCAAAATTTTTAATGGATCTTAAATGCTCATTAAAAATGAAACAGATTGCACAAATGGCATGGAAACAATCAGCAAGTGTGTGTTTTGACCAAAACTGCACACTGCACTTTCACCTTATTGATATCGCTTCTAATTAAAGGTCAAGTGTGAAGTAAACTTGGCCAACCATCTTTTGAGTGATACGGCTCAAACTAATTTAAGCATACTTTGTTTTTTGTATTTTTTTTTTTTAACCTACCCGTGTTCATCGTAAGATCACCAGCACCGCATCATAACGAAAATGCTTTTCATAACGAAAATGCTTTTGTTTGGCCATCTGCCGCGAGTGACGTCATTCAAAGACTGCCCAGTCACCAGGCAGCCATTATTGATTGTCCCGTTAACTGCTGTTCGCCATTGTTATGGAGTTATTCGGCGAAATGCTTCGGCACTGTGTGGCGATGCGTTGCTCGCGTTCAAACAAACGAAAAGGAAAGAATAGTGCACGGAAATGGACGGGTTTCGTTCGCACGCGAATGTCGACGAGCGCACTTGGAAGACCTGTTTTCTCAACCGTTTTGCTTATGATAAAGGGTTTACAAAAAGCTAGGTGTGATAATCAATACAGTAATTAGATTCTAAATAGGGTCCATGTATGGAATCCTGTACGGAAAAATAATTTATACACAAAAAAAAATTGTGCAACGTATATACTGTTCATGCGCTACAATGCTGCCAACTTGTTCTGTGGCCATTTTGTAAAAAAAAACACCAGCGGCCCTCATTTGGGCTAATCAAACTGGGTGGGTGATTGACAGCGCCTCACCTCTTTGTGTTGCTTCTCCAGCTCCTTCATCCGAATGTCTCGGGCCTCCGCCCTTGCCGTTCGCCTCGCCGCCAAGCGTGCTTCTGCCTGTCACAGATGTTCACCACATCAAGAACTACTGCATATCGGTGGTTTGTAGATGTCATTTCAAGCATGGTTATTGCTTTTACCAAATAAATATTGAACATGGAATTTGATGGTGTCAAAACGCTCCTGAAAACCTGGCGCAGGCGGCAAAAAGACCGAGAAAGTTGGGGAATGCTCATCAAACACCTGCTTGGAACGTCCCACAGGTGAGCAGGCTAACTGAAAACAGGTGGATGCCATGATTGCGTAGAAAAGGAGCTTCCTTGAATTACTCGGTCATCCACAAGAAAAGGTGGGGTGAGGTTTACCTCTCTGTTCACAGAAAAACTGTTCTGTGTTCTGACGAGTCCACATTTCAAATGTTTTTTGGAAATTGTGGACATCTTGTTCTCCGGACCAAGGAGTGAAAGAACCATCAGGACTGTTGCAGATGCAAAGTTCAAAAGTCAGCATCTGTGACGGTCTGGGCCTGTGTCTGCACCAATGGCGTGGGTAACTTACACACCTATGAAGGCACCATTAATTTCAGGTTTCGGAGAAACATGCTGCCCTCCTAATGTCTTTTTCACGGACACGCCATCTTATTTCAGCAAGTCAATGCCAAGCTATATTCAGCATGTGTTACAACAGTGTGGCTTCAAGGTAAAAGAGTGCAGATACTAGACCGGCCTGCCTGCAGTCCAGACCTGTCTCCCGATGTGTGGCGCATTAAAAACAACAACGGAGACTGCTGAGAAGCTGCACATCAAGCAAGAAAGGACTGCAGCCGTAAAAGTCCAAGTTAATGGTTATTTGCTAAAAGCAATCAAGTTCATCACATTGAACATTAAATATCTTGTCGTAGTAGTGTATTCAATTAAATGGAGGTTGAACATGTTTTGTAAATCGTTCTCTTCTGTTTTTATTCATATTTAAGGCAACATCCCAACTTCATTGGAATTGGGTTTGGATGTATACTGTATTTATATATTCTTTTCATTTATTGATATCGTGTCTGTCGGTTCAGTGCTTAAGAAGTAGATTCCATGTTTCCTGAAACATGAAAAGTTGAAGTGACAAAGCCAAGGAGTTGTTTGCCTTATTGTTGTAAACTGGCTTATGACTCACTGACTTATGTTGACGCCACACTCGTTGGGGAGAGGCTGTCATAGTGAATCCGTAAAACACTGCAAGTCAAAGTGTTTAGCAAACTAACCGCTCGGATTGAAATCTAAATAAACCATCATATTCGTTCATAGTTCATTTGCCTTATTTTGGCATGAGCCTAAACTATGAAACCAAAAATTTTTGTGTGTCATTATTTTAGTCCAGATTAATTTCTTGCTTGAGTTAGTTAAAAATACACAGGAAGAACACAAAACACAGCGGTTTGTCACACAAGAGGTGGTTTCTGGTACATGTGCGAAATGTGTCCGCACAGGGCAGCATTCCAAAGGCGTAGAAAAAGTTGAAGTGAAAGGTGAGCTACGTCAAGGAAGTACGTTCATTCTTTGAAGATCTCTGGAAATGGCGGAGGAATGAAAGGTAGCTTGCGGTTAGTAGAATGTGACTGAGCGTATCATGGCCACACGGGGGCGCCAAAGGAGGGGTTTGCAAAGGGTGCCATTCGAGCGAGGAGCCACTGAACGCAATAGACAAACAACAAAAATTCGAGTCGACATGCAGTACTGAAGCAAAACAAGGATGCGGTGACAGAATGTATCCCTCCCAAAAACAAGGAAAGAAGAATTTGACCCAATCATGGCATGGAATTTTACTCCCACGTCCTAAAAATGCACTGAATTAATGAGCGAGCATGACTGCACATCAATGTAGACAGAGTTTATTGTTCTTCCTGCTGACCTATAACCAAAAGTGACAGGCTGGCATAGATGATTTAACTTTTCTGAAAAGACTGGACATGGAATGCAAAAAATTATTATGAGTAGGGTAAAATGAAGTTGGGGAGAATCCGTCCATCCATTTTCTACACCGTTTATTCTTCACAATTTGAGTTGACTTCAGGCAAAACGCAGGTTACACCCCGGCACCCACCCAGCAGCAATATGTTTCTGGGTGACAAATGAGCCCAAAGCTCCAGTTGGTTTTCTCTCGACGCTTCACTGACCTAGTGTGTGTGTGTGTGTGTGTGTGTGTGTGTGTGTGTGTGTGTGTGTGTGTGTGTGTGTGTGTGTGCGCGCGACCGCCACT